AATAAATCATCGACCACATCATCTCTTCTTTTACCTTTCCCAAACTATTCAAAATGTCTCCTGCTTTTGGTGTTATTAAGGATCTCAAAAGGACTCATAAGCCATTCATTAAGCTGCGCGTTATTAGAATGTTCCAACGCGAGGAGGATAAAGGTTATAAACAACCACTAGAGTTTATCATGCATGATTCCGAGGTACTATATACACAATGTTTTATTAACATTGTTAATTCCGAAAAAATCAAATTTTGCTCCATTATTTAAAATAATTGTATGTTTTAATTTACATGATAGGGAGGACGTATTAATGCATTGGTTCGTCCGATGCATGTTGCTAATTTCATCAATGAAGTGGAAGAAGGGGCCGTTTATGTCCTAAAGAAGTACCTAGTTGAAAGCAATGTCGGGATTTACCAAACGACAATATGTACTTGGAGGCTTGTGATCAATAAGGATACTAAATTTATTAAGTGGCCTCACCCATTTCCTACCTTTCGGTTTGTCTTTAGAGATTTTGCAACTTTAATGGACATTGACAATGTTGATGAAAGGATGTTGTTTGGTAAGAAAATTATAATTTGCTTCTATTTAATTTGAATGTTATATTATATACTTCCTATTTTCTGAATCATTTACTTAAATATTATTATTATTAAATTCAATGAACCTCAAATTAAGTTATTTACATTAATATATTGTTCTTTATAGATGTTATTGGGGTGGTTGTTGAAATACAACCAATTCAAATGAAGAATGTAAGGGGGGTGACTACTCAAATGGTTGTTTTCTCCCTTATGAACTTGGAGTAAGCAAATCTAACTTATATATTGATAATTTTTATAAATATGATATATAAAATGAATGTTCGATTTCTTATTATCTAATTATTGTGTATATCGTTTTATACGATTTATTTAGAGGAAAAAAGAAGAATTGTACCCTTTGGGGACAATATGTTGATCAACTAATTGCTATTGAGCATCACTATATGAATGAACAACAACCCTTTGTCATAATCATGCAAATGTGTCGTGCTAAGGTGTTTGATGGTAAGATTTTACTAAATATATATTTCCATTTTCTTATTATTTTATTTTTTCGTCTAATTATTTTATTTATTTGTAGATGAGGTGCGGATAACCACATCAAAGGATGTTACGCTTCTCATTTGCGTAGATGTTCCCGAAGTTCTTGAATTTAGGAGGAGGTATAATCTCTTGAAAATATTGTATTTATGTTTCTCTAATGATTAATATATTCCTTATTTGGTTGTTAATATTATATATTATTAATCTCAAGGTTGGCTGCAAGTAAACGGAGGAATACAACTTTGGTGTCCAATAGCTCGATGATTGTCAAGACCGAAATTCAACAACTTGAGGATGGTGACGTATTCGTTAGTACTGTTGATTCCCTTTATGATAATGTGGAGGTAATATAAAAAATACAATTATGCGTATTCATATTTTTAATCATCAAAATATTTAATTACTTTCAAAAATTTATTACTCATTAAAAAAAATTATTTAATTTGTAGGCTATGGACATTTGGGTGTGTGCAACTATTGACTCCATTAT